AGCGTACGAACCGTGATCATATCGCTTGACGCACCGCGCCGCAACTGAAGTTTTGTATTGTCTTTCTCATTTCTGTGGTCGAATCCTCACGATGTTAAGTTTCTGTCAGCAACATTCTCAGCTGTTAATATATCGAGAAAAAAGTGTGGTTTATTCAGAGTATTTTCTGCCACATTGCGAAGTGGTTACATATGCTCAAATATTGTACACGTACAGTCTTTTAGACCAAGAAATTTATTGTCTTCTTCATGATTCAGAGTAATAGCTTGCTCACTTTTTTATATGAGAAAAAAGTCTGCTCTACCCGATCAGGGTTATTGTTTCTCAATCACTTGTCATTGTTATCCCTAGTATTGACCGCCTTTTTTTTATGTGTAGAAAAATCTTCACATTCACCTCGCTCATCTTGGGGGAGGAGCAGAGTTTTACCGGGATTTCTTACGGCTATACTACACGGCGGTCCACTTTGACACATTAGGAAAGGAGACGGGGAACCGTTCTCGAATACATTCGGTGTCGCGCAAGTCTACACCCATTCTAAGTAAATGGCTAAAGAATTGAGCATGCTCTCTAATCCTTACCATTGCCTATAAAGCTTCGACGCAATGCGCAATCCCAAACTAGGCCGCTGGTAGCTCGCCCCGTAACTTGATTCTCGTGCACGATAACTGCGATATTTAAACCATTTCCTTGCCCCCGCGCCAGTTCTTTCTGCCGCCTATGTCGCATCCTCCTTCCAAAGCATATCTGGCTCACAGAAGGAGGCCGCGAAGCTCCATCTCATCCTATCCACCCGCTGGGCCTGAAGTACCGCTGCAGGCGATAGGTCATCTTCTACTGAAGTGACCAGTACATAGCGCAAGCTCTCCCGCCGGATAAAACTCTAGTGTACGCTACACCATGTCCCGGCCTTCACAGCAATGTGGCAAACCGTGATAGGTTTCTTCCCAATGTGATGCAGCTACTCTCTGAAGCAACCACACCTTCGCGACTTTCAACTACGCGCTGCCTTCTCGCCAGGGAAGCACGTCATCTTCCAAGAGGCTTTCGCTGCACCTGTAACCTCTAAGTCTGAAACAAAGAATCCCACAGTATATCTACCCCCTCCCGGCCTTTAGTACCGATATACATATCTTAAAATTCTGAAGCTCAAACGAAAAAAGCTCTGTAAGGACTCTCGCTCCCGCCCACCAAGATTCACAAGTTTCAGCAACAGCCTTCAACAAAAGACATTCGCCGCCGCCTCTACTCACGGGACCAAAGTGTGCCGCAAAGGACCAATGGTTGTCAAGGGTGAGATCTATTTCATCTGGGTCCCAACCTGTAACTCCGCCTTCTCACTCGTAATCCCAGCGGAAGTGTTTCTCCATCGAGCCGAGTGACAGAACCGCATATCTTCGGTTTTTTGGGGAGATATCTCAAGCTCCAATCCTCTGATTACCTCAACCACCATCGCCACCACTAACTCCGCTAGACGAATCGTCCTTTCCTATCCACACGCCCAGACGAGCATCAACAAGTCGTTCGCATGGCTCGTCAGTTGCGTTCGAGGACAGTTGCGTTCGTGCAGCATTGCATCCTACAGGGTTGGCCCAAGGATTGAGTACTGCGGAATCCCACGCTAGGGTCACCTTCATTTCTACCATCTTATGCGGAAACTCTGACACGTGAGTTCATCAGGGCTCCTACCAGCCGAGCTGCTAGTTGCGCGCCTTTGTTTCCCCCCTCCCAATCAGGAATCTTCAGTATGAGCGCCCCCATGGCTACTCTCTTTGGGCGCACCACTCCTATACACAAATCGGACAGATTAACGGCTTTCCAAGCCTTGGCTATTGCCTGGACATATGTATATTCCTCTCCAGATGAAATCATCAATGTACCCGCAGCCGTTTTGGGGAGTACGGCTTGGCTTCCTTCCGCTTACCTTTTCTCTTCCTTTAGAGATGGCGAAACACCCCGCAGCTCAGCGCGAAATTGGCTAATCTTATTAAGGAAAAATATTTTCAATTCGTCTAATGACTCTTCACTTACTTCACTTACTTTACTCTCTGCTTTAAATCAGCTTCAACATTTTCTCCAGGATTACCCACGACAGGTTGGGAAGCAGGCAAAAAAGGAGGGCCTATGGTTCCTGGAGATGGTTTCGAAGGTAACGCTGTATTACTCCTCATCCCTGATTCCAACATCTCCTTCCCTTCCTTTCTTCTCTTTTCTTTTCTCTCCTTAGTTAACGACTGGAGAACCTGAAGAGCTTTAAGAAATGTTAATGTGGGTGCGAGGATGGAGGAAAGATGTAGGATTTGGGTAAGGTAAGGAAAGGTACGTTTCGTCACAGACTCGCTGCCTAGACTCATCTCAGTGGGGCTGATGGCAGCGATCCCTTGCCCCTGAAGCTTGTTGTTATAACTACTCACTAGGCTGGACGGTCACCCATCCTAGCGGTGTTCCGCACTCTGCTTATTGTCGAAGATCGCTAGACTTCGACGCCAGGCGCATAGCCACTTGAGGCTTGTCGGTGTCCGAAACTTGTACTCGACGGACTATAGGCCGCTACAAACCAGTCATCTCCCAGGGATAACTGGTTCGTATCACATCGCCGTGAACCATAGCATAGGATTAAGAATTTCTTGAGTATCGGACAAGACTCCCGGATCTATGAAACATGACCGCGACATTACAGTTTGAAAAGGCTCGGGTTCTTCGGGGTCTCTTATCTGTAGTACAGCCCGCCAACGGGCATACAGGCACTGTGGAATTAGCTTGCTGGAGAGAGGAGAGAGGAGGAAAGAGCACGTGGTAACTAACATCAAGCACTGACACACTTTACATAGACTCATCCATTGTTATGTTATTCAAATACTCACCATGGATGGATGGTACGTGTCACACATGCAGACGCCGTACACCGACCCACACCGTGTGGCTCACGCCACACTGTCATCTGGGGAGTCACGTCATCACATTCACACAGGAAGTATCTACACAAGACACTATGCACGACGGCTCGAGAAAGAATAAAAAGGAGAAGAGGATAAGGAGAAGGAAGATACGGGATAGCCATTGCTCTGTTAATCACAGGCAAGCCGTGTTTTCCACGTTCCACCGCATAGAGGGAGTTGGCACTTGAGGGTAACGGCTGGTGTGTAGAAGAATACCGAATAATACCAACAAACCAACCCGATACCTTCGAGATCCATAACTAATGTCGACCTGCAGATCTGTTATGCGTAGTACCCTCCAGAAACGGATGGCATCAATCGCTCGATCGATATACTAATTGCGACGTCTATTTCTTCACCTACACTATCAAACAGTTCGCGATTGATTAGAATTACATTCGTATAAGGCAGGTCAGCGTAGAAAATTAGTAGCCCACTTCAATAGAAAATAACCGTATAATATTTCGTTATAATATTACGTAGTCGCAGCAGAATATTCCGGTACACTGTCACCGTGTTTCGTCTTTCGATTCTCGAAAGAGCAATCTAAGTCCTACAACTTTAGTAGTAAATATTTCTTGAAGAAAGCATTTGCGAGCATTCTTCCAGAGGAAATATTTGTTTGTTTTAGGGTCCTAAATTTATACCTAAGTTTAGCGATTTAACTCGGGAACACCCTGTATATAATCGCGAAATAATACAGCGCATTAATCACGGTATCCGATTTGATCGTTTCGTCCGCTATAGTTTACCAACGCGGACTCTATTCGCTTCCAGATACAGTGCCTTCAATTGGATCGATATCATTTGGCCCATCGAGCATTGTTCGTTCAACGAATAGAAACGTAGCTTCACATTACGTTGCCTTAATAACCAGATAAAACTGATTAACACTTCTTTTCCAAACATTTATTGTGTAGATAAAAACTTTTATCTTTTTGAAAGTAGAAAATAGTTCTAAACAGGAAAACATGTATTCTGCTGTAAAAAAGTAAAAACTGTGGCATATAGATTTCCTGGAAATATTAGGGTAGATAGATCCGAAGTAGAAACCTCTATAAAGATAAATTTATAAACATATTAACAAATATTATTTAATAGCGTTTATAACATATAAACAAATATTATTTAACAGCGTTTCTAATCCTTAACAATCTAAAAATCTAATCCTAACATTACTAGATATTCAAAGACACAGAAATTCATGCTTTACAGTGCATTTATTATTATTGCATTTATTATTATGCTTTATATTTTCTTATAGATCTTAAGAAATGTACAATACATAGTAAAGTTAAATAATTTTCTGTTTTCTAACATAATAAATTGCTCTAATTATCCGCGGTAATACCATGCCATGTCTAATTAGAATATAAAGAATCATCATTATTTTTTCAAAGAATTCAAATTTTACGTTCGTAAAGTAGATTCATTCATATACAATAGTCTGATAGAAATGACAGTTTTGAAATGTTCATACAATAGTTTGAACGTAGAATAAAACAGAATTTGTGTAGTATTCGATGAGCACGGAGCGCGTTACAACATAGCCAATAAGAAATAGATTATTTATTCATTTCCCTTGCATTGCACGAAAAGGAACTGATGGAATCTCTTTTTTATTTTTCAAATTTTCTCTAGGTTTGTCGCTACGAATAAAATCTTATCGGAAAGACTTAAAACCGTGTATTACCGTGAACGCCATAATACGTGCGGGATATGAATAAATCTGTGAATTTAATTTATATGTATATTGCATTTTACATAAAAATTTATGAAATATAAGAAAATATATAAAATGTTTAAATTAAAGTATTCGTGGATTTAAGTTTTATTTCGTCACTTGTTAGCATAAAAATAGAAATTTTAGAATCTGCAGCGTTGTAATAAATAAAACGTAACGTACGTAGTATGTAACTGAATAATAATTACAAAATTATTTAACTTCCTTTATTACAAATACATCTTTCTTCTATTAATATTCTTTCAATATTAATAATTTATTTCATTTTGAGAGCAAATAAATAATAATTTATTATGATCCTATTCTATACCAAATTGTGTATCAAATTGTGTATATAGTTTATTTATAAATTACAATGATACATTACCTATTCTTTTTATATTTTAATATTATATCGCATAAATAATTTTCAAATAATTTTCAAATAATCGACTAATTTCACTAGCTAAATATACTTTAATTTACTATTCCATCATGTAGATCAAACATCCTTATATAACCATTCCTCCTTAATCATATCACTAGCTTTCTCCGCAATCATAATAGTAGGCGCGTTCGTATTTCCCTTAACAATTTTTGGCATAATCGAGGCATCTACAACTCTCAAACTATTGATTCCATAAACCTTCAACCTTTCATCCACCACAGCGTCAGAATCCGATTTTGGTCCCATTTTGCATGTTCCAACCAGATGGGAGAAAGTCGTAGTATATTCCATCATCACACATTTCCAATAATCCCTAACACCAAACTCAAATTGTCTACAAGAAGGCAAAGGTTTATCTATTAACCTAAAATCATTCTTCTTAAACGATTCTGTACCAAACAGCTTTAAAGCTATTTCTAGTCCTTCTACCAATACGTCCAAATCACTACTATTGGTAAAATAACCAGGATAAATTAAAGGTGGACTCCACAAAGGATCACTATCATTTAACAATATAAATCCTCTGCTTTTAGGAGTTAATAATACTGGATTAATAAATACAGCATCGTAATAAGATAATGGTGCAATAGCTGCATCAAATGATTCATCTGGATTATTTAAAAAATCTTTTTGATTAGCTGGAAGGGAGAAAACTTGGATATCAGGCACGCCATTCTCATGTTGAAACATTGTTTGTAAGAAAACAGAGACACTAGTAGTACCAATTGCAGATAAAGGTCCCCTGTATGTCTTACTATAATAAAATATATCATCATCCTTCATGAAATTATTTTTATCTGTGGAAGTAGAATTCAACGCAATTGTTAGACCAAAAAATGATACATGATCTTGAAGATTTTTTCCAACTGATAAATCACGAATTATTTTAATACCACATTTCTTTAATTCTTTTCTTGGTCCAATTCCAGAGAGCATAAGAATTTTTGGTGAATTAATCGATCCAGCTGAGACAATCACTTCTTTCTTAACAAAAACTGAGTTTAATTTAGTCTGGTTGTTTGAAGTTGAGGCGTATTCGACACCTATTGCACGGTTCGTCTTGTCTATTAGTAATTTCGTGACGTATGCTTCAGTTTTGATAGTTAAATTCTTGCGTTTGCTTCTAATGGGTCGTATAAAAGCGCTATTTGTACTTTGACGTTTTCCATTAGCGGATGTCATTTGCAGTTTCATAACACCCAGTTGGGTTTCCGCGTTTATATCTACGAATTTATAACCGAGTT